ATGAAATATCAAGTGTACACAATTCATAATTCATATTTTACATTATTAGTTTGTATATTGTAAGACATTGTTGAGTACTGATTCTTGTTTTGTCTAAGTATCGATTGTAACAGTAAATTCATTATTTTTTGTTTTGTTACGTTCTCTAAACTGATTTGTAACAAAATACTTTGTTTAGCTGTTTAAGGGGTTAGGCTCGACTAGCACATGTGCTATTATCTGGCCCCTTTTACCAACCAATAGTTTCTCTTTCTGTATATGTAATTATTGTATAAAATGTATGGAATGTAATGCTGTTGGTAAATAAATCAAATCAAATCACATGCGCTCGTATAGTTATCCCCCTCCTCCGACACAAATAAGAAGAAATATAAGAGAGAGAGAGAGAGAGAGAGAGAGAGAGAGAGAGAGAGAGAGACTGAACGAATAAATCATGAATGAAAGTCTTAATGACACCCTGATGGCTTTGGTTTATATGCTTTAAGTTAAAAAAGGGAATGGGGAAGAGAGAGGATTATACAAAAATAATCATATCGCTGTGGCTCCCTTAAAAAAACATCGCCAAAGTGAGTACGTTCGGTTTACGAAACACCTTTGGCCTACTTCTACATTCAGTTACGTGTAGCACGTGAACCTTTTTTGATTAGGCCTTTGAAATGTTTTAAATTATACATACAATATTATTACTAATCATGTGATATTTTCCCTCGACTTTGTTATCAATAATTATCATTCACTTATAATGTATGTTGATTTAAACGATAATTTAGGCTTGTTCTATTTTGTTCACGATAATGGACCTGTTTGCAATCAATATTTGTACTTTATTGAAATCAGAAACTTCTAGTACCTTCTCTATCTAGTCTTAATATTTTAGGAAATGATTCACTTTGACAACGAGTAGTTGTTCTTTGTAAACTATCTCTGAGACTTTTTTTTTTTTTTAATATCCATATTGAACGTACATTGGACAAATAAATACAACAAATTAATGGATGTGCAGAAATTCCACCCAAGTTTAAAAAATACCTCATTATAATTCGAGTTTTGTCTTCATTTAAGCTCTGTCTTTTTACATATTTTATTTTGATTAACTTAGGAAAATCTAAATACCATTTTTTAGGTGATCCATGTCACAGGTTAATGCAAAGAGCCATCATCTATTTCATTGGTCGAGTGATAGGTAGGGGTGACTACACAAATTATCTTGTCAGACTGAAGTAAAGGACAATATACAATCCTCTCGTTTCCCGGTTCATAATAATAATGTATGTACCTTTCAGCGAACGAATGAAGCAAGCGAGCGAGCTTTTGATAATTCCATACAATTTGACTATATTTCGTATAGACCTAGTGTATATGCTGTTGGTATTCAACCATTTTCAAGTAATGTATAGCCATGTCTGAATATGAAGGCTAAAACCACCGGTATTACTATCAGACGAAGCAAAGAGAACGAGATAATTAAAGTCGGAAGGTTAAAGAGATCACCCAAACCGGAGTCCAAAACGTGACTTGCTTGAACAATTAGTCATATTTATCGTCAATAAATAGTGCATTCATAATTGTCGTATCACTTAACGAGCCGTAGTCTTCGCATAATGGCAAAACATATCTCAATTGCAAATCATTTTCAGATAAAAATAGAGAACAAATGAAGTAGTTGGATGGTAAGTAAAGTATGCTCCACGTCCTTTCATCAACCCAAATGTTATATTAACTAAGCAATCATTTAGTAAACATGCAAATGTATTAACTGACATACAAAATGTTTGTTGAGTGTGAATCGCCATCATCACATATACTCTCATGCTATATGAGGATCTTTTAATACTCAAATACAGAGTTCGGTATATCTACGTCTTCACATTTAGACATTCTCATACGTTATTTAAAGGGAAATTAATTTTAAAAGTAAAAGAAAGTAAACGAAATCAAGGAAGAAGATGATGAAAGTTTGAGCAATATCGGACAGAACTTAGAAAGGTTGTAATTGTAAGAGCGAGAGAGCGAGAGAGTGTGTGTGTGTGTGTGTGTGTATGTGAGAGAGAGAGAGAGAGAGAGAGGGGGGGGGGGGGAGAGCGAGCGAGAGTGAATGTGCCATCGGTGGATGTAATTAGTATAGAAATTATACAGTGTCCCGCAGGCGCGTACGCAGGATTTTTTTAAGGGGGGGGGGGGGTTTAACATTGTCACTTTTTTTTTTTTTTGGTCCCAAAAAAATCGCAATGACTCAGCCGACCGCTGAATAAGAGGTAAGAGGACACATTTTTTTTCTTCTTTGGTCTCGAAATTTGAAAATTTGACATTTTGCTCCGTTGGGGAGGGGGGGGGGGTAAGGTCAGCTTTTTTAGGTCAACCATGGGAATATTTTTTTTTTCTTTTTTTTATTTAAAAAAAAAAAAAAAAAAAAAAAAAAAATCCAAAAGGGGGGGGGGGGGGGGGTTTACACACAAAAAAAATTACCAAAGGGGGGGGGGGGGGTTTAAGCCCCCAAACCCCCCCCCCCCCCCACCCCCCCCCCCCCCCCCCCCCCCCCCCCCCCCCCCCCCCCCCTGTGTACGCGCTTGGTGTCCCGCGAATCATTGAATGTGTTGTCACGGGTTACTTGTCTGAAAAGGTTGAGACTACCATTAAAAGGAAAGTGGAATGGCATTACACCTGTTATAGACAGGAGGTTTTTTTTGTAGATGACTGTATATATTGTACTGGAGTAACAGTGGCTAGGGCCACACCCAATGAAGTTGGCTTGGTGTACGGAGGTCTTGGTGTACGTAGCAGCTTGCTTTAAAGCAAATAGCTAGCTGCTTGTCCACACACTGTAGAAGACAAGTTGAGAAAGATGTGGCTTCTTGCTTTATAAGTTTTGCTACATGAGAATTTGCAGCTTTAAGTAGAACCGATACTTTCCATCGGTAAGTGAAATCATGATAATGTATTATATTACTACATTGATGATTGTATAATCTTGTACTTTAATGAAGGGTGATTTTATTCAAATGACAAATTGAAGTACGAGAAAGGTATGACATGTTATTTCACCTTTTGTTATCAATTATATATTGGGCAAAGAACTTAATGATTAAGAAGAGGAAAATATTTACAATTCGTATTGATGCATGTTTCACCTATAAGAAGAATCGATAGTAGAGAAATGTTTGTGCCTGAACTCTTTACATTTTAGATGGCACAGGGGCTTGGGAGACAAACTGAGATTTCTACGACTACGAGAGTTGATGCGAGACGGGACATTCGGACACGTGACCGACAGATCACCAAGAACATGGCGTCTCCAGAAGAGAACGCAATATGAACATTATGGTGAGCGATAATGGTGCCGAGAATGTTGACGAGACTATTATGGAACTTGAGATAAATAGTTCGATGAACTTGAAAGTCACATCTGAAAAGATGTCAAAGGCTTAGCAGAGCCATATGGACTATTTCGTGTTTGAGTGTGTATTGTTGATGCATGCATTGTATAAAGACTTCTTTGAAAGATGTAATCAAGGGTGAAGTTAGCGGACAATACAGGTCTGGAGTTAACCGTTCACGTGACAAGAAGTCAGTTGTTGATTGTCTTGAGAAGAGAACATGATATTTTTGAAGGTACAATTTGTAAAGTTGATAACTAAATAAACGACAATATACTGGTCTGTTTATTGATGTTAAGGTAAAGTTTCTCAAGAACGAGATGTGTATGAGATAATTGATTAAGCTACAGATGTGCTATACATTTAGACAATTCAGGTATGTTTATATAGAACATTATAGGTGTAGACTTCATGTATAACAAATTATAGAAAGATTTGATACATGTTACAAAGGTGTTGATCATATATTTGATTGACATGGTTGATTTTATTTTGCTGGGACCAAGTGTTTTGGAAAGATATTGTAAGAGGATATTTATTTCGGTCGTACCATTCTCTTTTTGTCGGAGAATGGTATTATTCTTTGCCTTATAATAAAGCTTGACTATAATTACGAGTATCGTAAATGGCATGTGTTTAGGTTTCTTTATTTGATTGCTGAATCGCCTTCAAATCGCAAACAATCGCACTATTAGTCTGAGGTCACAACGATTCTGAGCCGATTCATCTTTCCCCTATAAATAAGCATGAAATCCCTTGCAATCAAGATTTTAATAATCATATGACAATGAAAATCCTCGGTCATTAATATTTAAAATGTTATTATTTTTATTTATATTAATACTATCACAAATTCGTCCAAAATTGGATCCTAGTCAGATCGTACGGTTCTTTCTATTATGCAGAATACTGAAATCCAAGATAACATGTATTTTATACTTCTCTTATCAGTACATGGTAACATAGCCTAACCCTCCCCCATCCTCACATACACACTTATACACACGCAACACACACACAAACACACACCACACACACTCACATTAAAGGTAATACAAAGTTTTGGGAAATTATGAAAATTGGGTGGAGAGTGAATCTTTACAATTTTGATATATTTGGATGCCCCTGTGGATGTATTATAAGCACTAAAAAAATTAGCCCCTAAAACACTTCTGTTTTCGAGAAAAATCGAATATAAAAATTTACCGGTGCTCCCGGTAAATTTTGATAAATTTCATACAGCGCCTATGGCCGTGCAATGGTAGCTGCGACCATGAAAATTTCAGAATATGTAGTTGTGATATATAATTTCCAAACGGGAATAGCTAATCGGCGATTTTAGTCAAGAAGCATTGTTTCATAGCTAAATTAATATCTTGACCTTGAGAGGGAGCTATACAACATAAATAGTTTATTATTTATAATTTGATAGCTTTAGACTCGATTTCAACCGCGACAACGATCAATGAATATTGTAGGAACGCATATGCTTCCAATATGTTAATTTGAATCAAATTCATGACCCCATACCAAAACTTTGTAATACCTTTAAATTCTCCGGACACACACACTCACACAATATTGCGATTCAAACGAAAAATGAAATAACATCAGAATACATTTATATAAAAGAATGTCTAGTCGATATATGCCTGAAAGACATTTATTTCAAAACGTTTTCATTACAAAGACTTTAAGTAAATGTGTATCTACAAATATGTTCTTGATAAATAAGACTTCATACCATTCAACTATAATGATACAGATAGATATCATTTTTTCACGAAAATTATTTCTTATTTCTATGCAATTTCTTTCATTATTTTTATTCATAGACCACTAGTAACAAACCTTTTTTTTATTCTTGAAAATTTCCGGATTTTTCTTCTTTGCATCTTAATAGTAATATCTTATAAAATGTATGATTTATGATTTCGATATTAATTGGTTTATCAATCTTTGTTAAGAAGAGAAGCATAACTTGCTCAGTTGCATGATTGATCTACTTCCAATTAGTCAAAGCAGACATTAGCGACCCATAAGCTGCAATTATATTAAAGATCCAACCTGGAAGAGTGGTTTCTTTTAAAGGTTGAATACGTACTATATACATCATATCCAAGTAAAACGTTTTGTTTTCAGTTTGTACAAAAACAAATCTATGTTGATGCCTTCGTGACTGGTTCACCAGACATTTCATACAACAATTATTATTTTATACACCTTGAAAATTTTACGATTTCTGTGTTGGAATGGACTAAATCAAATGAGAGGGAGGATTGTGCTAGTATCTTGGAAGGCTTCCTTTAGATTTCTTCACTCTCATCGAGAAGACAAGCGGACTCCTCCTTGTACTGACCCCGCTTCGGTGAGGCGGAGATGTTGCTGACTTTCCGGAGGACCACAACCATCATGGCGGCCATTGCCATGACAACGGTTGCCATAGCAGCCATGGCAACCATCCATGGGTTGAAAGCATTGGTCATCTGTTGTTGCGTTGAGGAACCTTCATGAAACAACAACAATGATGATAATAATAATACTACTAATAATATTGATAATAATAATAATGGTGATAATAATAATAATGATAGCAATGATTATAATAATAATGATATCCATAACAATATTGATAATAATATTTATCACAGTAATATTAAATACGATAATAAATATACATTTAAACGAAAATTAAGAATCTTGATCTTTTTTCCGTAGCAACATTTCCCCTTTCATTAAGTGAAAACACAATGATATCCTTCAGCTTCTGTAATAGTGGTTTAAAAATATCAAACCAATGCACACAAATTCGACATTTTAGACTTTGATTCTCAACAATCAGAATATGTGCTTAATACATATTCTGCTACGCCAAGTGTATCTCTTCCCCAAAATGACAAAGTTACAAAATCTTGATATATAGATCTCTATCCTCAAGTATAGGACCCCATCAAAGTTAATACGAAATATCATCAACATTAATAGCTTTTTTGGTAGTATAGATAAGGTACTACGGACGGTACTCTTTTAAATGCCTTTATTTTTATTGTTACTAGCACGTTGGAGCGAGACACTGACGATGACAAATCAAAATCTTTATGGTCTGACAGCAATCCTAACTATTGGGTTGTGCTATTACGATTAAATGTAGTTTCTTCGCTAAAATGGTGATGATGAAGTCAAGGTTTGCGATCTGTCATCATTGTACCATGGAAACCTCCATTATTAGTGTAGCTTCAAATATATCATAATAGTTTATCGTCTCGGTTATCCACTTATGGTTAAAAGAATGCGAATGAAAACTAATTTTGGGGTACAAACCCTTGTAAGTCGTGCGTAGCAGTAACTGCTTACTGTGTCTGCATTTACTTACTGAGCCAGAGAGTGTCAGATCTCTGCTCTGCTCAAGGCTTTGGGAATTTTAAAGTTCCGAATAAAGAGTCTGGGCTTGTAGACTAAGGGTGACACAATCGCAAGTGATTAGAACAATCAATTCATGGGCGATTCAGTGCCCTGCTTTATGTCCATAAGAAATTATGTTCAAAATTACGAAAAACGTCATTATTATCATGTTCACTCATTTCAATAGGTGATCGTAGGGTTGCAGAAATTGTCTTGGGTCGATTTTTCGAAAGTAATTGCTATCGTGTTGGGTATATGGGCGTGAAAATGAATGCCTAACTTACCGCTCTCGCTGATGTCCATACGTGAGATGCTATCCTGTTTCTGCGCAGCGCGTCGGACGCGGAGAGGTCCTCGCGTGAATCGCTTGGTCTTCAGTCCGCTGCTGACGTCACGCCTCTTTCGGCCCGAGATCATTGATGAAGAACTCGCACATCCTTGCTCACAAAGAGAGTCTGCATCACCAGCATCGCATACGAGGAGGTTGCAATGGATGTAAACCTGTGCGTGTAAACAGAATGTAATAAGTCCTACAACGCATGGGGTAAGGAGGGGGAATCAAGTACTTCCACTGTTAAAACACTTTAAATCAATGTGGGAATAAAGATAATATCGACGTTTGGTTTTCTAAAATTTAAATTTCAAAAGAGAATATGTATAAATGATATCACTATTTCTATGTTGTATTTCTTAAATCAAAATATATTCAGCTGGATATTAATGCAACTGAATTATACAATATTTTGTATCTTGAACCTTGAAGTGGTGATGCAAAGGGTAAAACAGAAACAGTTCCAGTATTGACCACTTACCATGTCGCCCTCATCGATAAACCTGAAAGTATTCATCTCTACTCCGACACGGTAATCTTCTAGGTAGGTGATGTTAGTGTCAAGGCCGTCAGTTGAGCACCTTTAAATGGAGAATAAAAGTGATTTGGATATTTGAAGATCAAATAGAAGAATAACACATTAAGTGTTTTAATTTCAAATCATCATGTCATTAACGCAGTTGTACCTATTGTTTGGTAATATTTCACCGAAAACTAGACGTTGGTGTCAAAGCCTTATCTGTTAGAGAGGGAAGTTCTATTGACTGAATGTGATAATACCCTTAGACTGATGCGCCGTATTGGTCTCACTTTATATTGGTCCTGCATCCCATTGGACCTTAGCAAAAATAAATATAACTCCTAAATAGGCCTCCTGCCTTTAGCCCTACATCATATCGACTCTTCATGCATTGGCCCTTCGACCTGTTCGACGTATACCCCATTTAGCCAAATGTTATATAACACTGACCATGATAATATTTTTAACAATATGCATACGGTTTACTACCAATCACATACAAAATGATGAATGCAATAGAAGTTTCATTGCCCTAGGCCCCGTCTCATAAAGAGTTGATATCAATCGCAAGTTAATTGCGATCAATATCAATCGCAATTGTTTACATAAGAGATAGGAAACTACAAACTTGCTATTGATTGGAGGACTTGCGATTTATGTGTATCAATCGAAACTGTTTGTAACACAGGGCTCATGTATTAGGAGTCGGGCTCAATCGTTTCCAGATATTTCTACAAACCATCCCTTTTAAATAGGAAGAACAATTCTTACGCATTGTCGATGAATTCGAATCGAGTATCAGAATCGTAATTCGAATCCGGTGTGGCTCTGCAGGAGCGGATCGAAAGGTCAAGGGTGCCGTCTAGAGAGAGTACGGATGCTGCGAAGTAAAGCTCTTCATTGAGGCCGATGCTGATGGGGTAAGTCTCGACGACCTGTTCGTAGGTTCCATCTTCGTAGATATCGAAGGAGAAGGTGTAGGCACCCTCTTCGACGAGGGTCTTGTCGATGGTGTAGTCGGTGAGCTCGTACCTGACAGGTCCCATCTGCTTACTTCTGTTGTACGAGCATGAGAGAGGAATCTCGATGGCGAACTGACGACTGATGACATCACTGTCCAGGTAACGACTGATAACACGGTTGGTGTATGTCTCCTGGTCATCGCTTTCCTAGAAGAAGAAGATAGACGGACGGGTCAAGATATCGGAAAACAAAAAGAAATATTAGGTTTTCTGTAGCCTTAGAGGTGTCGTGGTCGTGTGGTTTAAGCGAATGACTTGGAATTCAAAGGTCTTGGGTTCGATCCCCGACACGGCACAAATATCTATTGGCAAGGCACTAATCTGCATTTGCCACTCCATACCCAGGAGAGAAATGGGGACCTGGTAGGATGATGGAAGCGTTTGTGTTAGTAATTGCCATATGCCCCCACGGTGACCATATGGTAGGTATACCCCCTGGGAGTGGAGATGGTCAACATTGTGCATGGATCAATCCGATGACATGGATATTCATATTTTTAAAGCGCTTTGAGACGGTATTTCGTATTAAGCGCTATAGAAATCCAAATCATCTGAGTCATCAAGCTTCCAAGTAGATTTTTATACCATGTAGTATCAAATCGTTAAACAAGCAAACAAACAGGCAAGTAGGCAAGATTTAAAAAAAAATCGATAATTTTCCTTATAAGATATCATCATCAATATAGCCTCTATGAAAACATAGGCTATGAAAGGTTGCTCGGTACTGTCGAATGCAAAATAACAATTGCAATTTTAGATATTTCATAATTGATGAACCTGAGTAATACACTAAAATGTGGGATCACACAAAAAAGTTCTTACCGTCCTGTTCGTTCCGCATTCGGTAAGGTTGGTGGTGAGTTGGATGATCTCGACACTTTCGTCGTTGGATGTGTCTACTCCCCAGCAGTACGAGTTATCAGCGTCGTCTTCGTTCTCGAATCGGACGTTTGGCCCAGCCATCTCACCTGTAAGGAGTGACTTTGGGATCTCAACAATCATCTGCGTGTCCGTGCATGTCAGGACGATTCCTTCAGTGTCCAATTCTGTGAGAGAGAAAAAAACAAAATGGTGGGGGAAAATGATGACAACATTTCTGACAGTAGAGCATGGACTACAAAATTGAGTGTTTCTCCTTTCACCTGTAAGCAGGGCTACATTTTGTTTCCCATTTGCAATCTTCTTTAACATTGCCATGTGTCCTTATTTGGGGCTTGAGGTATAATTCTTGATAAACAAAATATGCATAGGTACAGGATATCACTATCGACTCCAATATCAAATTTAGGCTGACACCAACAAGCCAGGCTTGGGTATATTTATCTTGTTCATTATATGGCCATGACTATATGAAAGCATCCCCCAACCCGCGTTCCCATTTTTTACAAGCAAACGGTGGGAAAGTGTATAGCATTTGGCAGAATGTTGACTGCGATTAACATAACTTTGCTTATACTTGTAGGCCAAAAAGTGGGAAGGTCAAATTCCAATGGCATTTAAAAGATAATACTGATTTTGAACTTCCCTCAAAACAAAAGGGCTTTAACAATTCTTTTTGTAGGAATATAACGACCGTTAGTTGTCGAATCGAATTTAGCGAGCGCTCTCGTTTAATTAAATAGTCTGATTCTTAGACCCTTGTACCAAATGTTATTACGTTTTGAGCTGCGTAAAGATTCCATAAGCTTAATTTTGACCATTACAAGAAGTGGGTTAGTGATGAGGACAAATGCTCATGTACCCTTTACACTTTTTTATCATCTATTACGGCTATAGTTCTTCAGCTAAAGTCACATGAACCAGTAGCCTTAAATAAAGACCACATTCATTACAAATAAAATGGGGAAGTGATTTTTTCCCCTCTACCAAATATCATATGTACGTTGTTATTATGATGCAGTTATGTTCATTCCTATTTTATCTAAATCCTTAGCCGTCAATTCCAAAACAGAACTGTTTTATTTTCGTCCCTTGCTAGCACGACTGATTTCCCTTTGTCATACATGAATTCGTTTTGAAAAATATTACCAAAACAAATGTAATGTAATTGAAATAAAATCAAGGATACATACCTGGTTCTTCAGTTACTGTTCGGGAGAGATGAGGAGGAAAAGTAAATAAACAAGATGAGCATCTTTATACATATAAAATAGTTATTGCCGTACGTCATACTATTCCATAAACTTCATTCAATAGAGATTTATTTTGTTATTTTTAAAGTAGACATCTATTTTTAGGCATACTGATATGAAATGTAAAAAAAAAAAAAAAAAATCACATGTAGACTCATAAGCAAACATGATTCAGGAGCTCTTTTAATCGCCTTAACATTAAAAATACTACATTACTTTTTATAGGCTTGAAACATTCTGTTATTCAATTTGTTAGTCAATTTTTACTGTAACCCTATGTTCATTAGCAACATAGAGAGTATCAGAAGAAGGAAGCCCCAAAACATTTTTGAAAATAGTAGCACTCGCTTATCCTATCACTTAAAAATAAAACAATAAATCTCACCTTGGGCGTCGATTCCTGAAACCGAGAGGAAGGCAAAGAGGAGGAGAAGGAAAAAGAAAGTTTGAGTTAGGGAATAGTTAATCAACACAAACCAAACATGCGAACAAACCAGAAAGCATTTAATGTGAAACCTTAATACTCCTACTTATCCTTTATGTTTCGAGAAGGACATTTAACGGGTTAAACGAATGCTCGACAACCATTATTATAAAAGGCAAATTAAAGATAAACTTGAGTTCCGGTAAAAAAAAGGAAAATGAATTCTCACAGAATCTAACGAAACTTACACTGAATGTTCAAGATTACAAATAAATGTCATGTGCCAAACAATTTTTGGAAGAAAATGTATACTGGCTGAGTAATGAGCATAGAAAGATAAGGAAATCAGGGAAGTACTAGCCCCGACACCATGTGTGTTGTCCCATATACATCTTTCTGTGTAAGTGATTGTTACTTTACCAAGACTCTGCCAAATTTATGATGATTTTGATGACTCCAGCACCTGACATTACACACCATTACTTACATGCTATATGCTCAACTTTTCTGATCCATTCCACACCTTTTCTTTCACAATGCAATCGCATTACCAATACTCAAGTTTATCTTTAATCAATATTCTGAGCTGCCACGATCATGATAATGTAAACGTACACTATACACTCTACAAATATTGACTGATTTGGGGGGCACAGATACGGGGTAAGTTCGCTAGTCGTAAGGACCGCTATTCATGATGTGGAACTTCTTCTACGTGGAGGACCGCTATTCATAAAACTGAAAGGGGGTCACTGTTGATAAAGGCGATCATACGGACTGCTATCTATAATGTGAGTTGAGGGTCGCTATTCATAATTCATATTTATGGTCATTACTCATAAAGACCGTTATATACCTCTCTTTAGAAATCTAGCCATCTGATTGGTCGAAATTGGAGTCGTGGTAGTAGCCATGCCCGCATACCAGTCAATAGTTTTTTTTTTAAAGATGCCCGTTGCCCCGGGTAACGGGCCGCATAAATAAATTTTGCTGAAATTTGTATCAATAGCGACCCTCTTTTTTAATTATAAATAGGGATCCTTACGAATAATGACCCTTATAAATAATAACCCTTTTCTCAAATTATGAATAGCGGTCCTTGCGAAAATCAGTCCTTGTGAATAGCGAGCGGACCCCGTCGGGCCTACTTACCGGGATTTCCTTATCTCAGTTTCTGTACTCATTACTCAGCCCCTATACATTTTCTACCAAAATCGTATGGCACATGTCATTTATTTGTACTCTTGAATATTCAGTGTAATTTTCGTTGGATCCTTAAAACTGCACTGTGACCAAATGTAAAAAGAGGAGCCCATATATCCACTGCGCGCGTCTATTGTGTCCTTGTAGTGTACTCGCTAGTAAAACTATGACCGGTCAATATTTGTTTCGCTATACTCCATGCCCAGCAGTCAATAATGAATTTCATGCCTGCAGTTTTGACCAATCACAAGCCTTCAAGCTTGATATGCAGTATATAAATGTTTAACTTCATCAATTTTTTCCGTCCGTTATACGAAATAAAAGCGGATATTATTTAACAAAAATGTGATAGGTAAGACAAGATCATGACTTTGGAAGTCATTACAGATATCTTCACATTAAAAATATCAGAACAGTGAAATTGTTAGAAAATGCCTCCACTAATGTTTTAACTTGTTTATTAAACTCACATTACATTTATGAAGCATCCAAAGATTTGTTTTACAAACTGCTATAGTCCCGGTAATTAACGGAAGCAATCGGTAGAACAAATTTATCACTTATCACGTACATTTTTGTAATATTTGAAAAAGTATTTGAGATGTGTTATCTGCTCCGTATGTATAAACCAATTTAGGTTCTCGCTGAAATTAAATAAGATACTAAGTGCTGTACTATCACGACATGTAGGCCTATATGATTTATATATGAAACAGTTTTACCTGTATAATATGAATATTATTTCGAAATTTTTCACTGCTTGATCCTTAAGAACACCAATGAAACAAGATACACAAAATGTTAAACTTATATAACAAAGCAGGCACAACAATATTATAATAATTTAATTTCGTAATTTTACCTGTATAATATGGATATTATTTAGAAATTATTCACTGTCTGATCCTTAGGAACTCCAATGAAACAAGGTAAACAAAATATAAACTTATCTAATAAAGCAGGCAAAACAATATTATAATCATTTAATTTCGTATATCACCATCACATGATTATTAAATATTTTTTGTTAATTACCTGATATTGTCAGGAGTGCCAGAGAAACAAGTACAAAACGTAACGCCATCGTGATGAATGGTTGTGTAGGAGACCGGGTAGGGGTCTGTCTTTACTCCTCAACTTCCTAAGAATACAGTACTGACAGGTCTTGAGGATCCTCTTCGCTTTTATTACGTAAAGTGGTTCACAAAATCTGAATTCATCTGCGATTCGTCACCCGGATGAACCTTGTCATGCGCACAACACGACCCTGGTCTTTTCGTCCGAAATATCAGGACATTTTCTTCCCCCCCCCGCCCCTATCTTTACCTTTCCAGTTGGAATCAAACTATTAAAACCAATATTTGCTGAGGTCGTAATTGCCAAGATAAGAAAGCAAGAAAAGGTGCGGTAGCCCTGGTGTACATTTTTATTAGAGTTACCCCTTGTGATATCAGTGTGTATTTTACAGCTAGCTATTTATTATTTTCTGGAAATTTATATGTTTGTTCCGTTTATTAACGGATCTCAGACGTAAGCGGGAAAACAAATATGGCGTAACGCTCGTAACATTGTGAAGAATTAAAACAAAAAAGAGTCTTACTATGACAATGAAGGAGGGGCGATGGTTCAGTGGTAGAGCAATGGTCTCGTAACTGGGAGGTCCTGTGTTCGAAACCAGATCAATGCGCTCGTGTCATTTGGTAACGCATTTAATCCTCATTACCAAGACATCGGTCCCCTGGTTGCTTACCTTCAAACACATACATGCTTTCTTTAATAGCAGTCAGGTGAAATTATTATCATTATTATCAAACATCAAACCATTGATGCCTGAGCTATCTTAATAGACAATTTAATGGGAATGGCATGATATTGCAAATGAGCAACATTTTAGGAAAACTTTCGTATTTTAGTTTTAAATCATATATGGAACGATGAAAACACAATTCTTGTTGGAATTTTGGAACTAAAAGTGATTTTTAAAAAAATCGCAGACAAAAGAAAATCTCACCATGATTCTTGCATATTTCTCATTACTTCATAGGGATTAACTTCGGTTTTGGGAGAATGGCTAACTTTGATGTGTTCCAAGAGTAGGCATCCCCATTTCCTCTTTCAATGAACTAAATTTATTTCGCAGTTTTCGCTGTTTTGGCGCTTTACGATCCTCTTTTAAACGGGAGAACGCACGGTCAGGCGTTGCATACAATTTTAATGTTTTTATTATCTAAGTAACAGTGTATCGTGTAATATGAGAGTAGCATCCGAGGGAGATTTTGTATTCTTGACGACTTGACGAGTAGGAGATATAGAGAGGAAGATAAGCTTTAACGAGACAAGCAGTGTCTTCGAGAAAGATATGTCGGTCTCGTGAACTGTCGGCCTCGTAGCTGTCGAAAGACAGGAAGACTGACAGAAAGAAATAACTTATCAGTAAGTCTGCAAGACAGGCAGCGTCGTTATCGGGCGTTGTCGGTTTTGTGGGCTGTAGCTAAGGAAAATCCGCATGCGACAACATGCCTTGATGATTAATTTTTTGTTGTTGATGAAAATATTGCTTATTTTTCAGTTATTAAGAAAAGATGGGAATTTATGACGATATAAGTAGGAAACCTGGATTAAATGAGGACTTTTTGTGTTGTTCTTCCTATCATTCTAAACTTTCGTTTTTTCTTTCCCCCTCCCGCCTTTTTGTAAGTTCAAGTCTGTATTTTGTGTAGTCCACTTAGTCCACAAATAATGTGAGCGGTTGACGTCTTTGTAACAACATTCCTGTGGTCAATTAGTTCGACTGGATATCATTTATTTTGAGTTTCTCTTTCAAGCGTGGCAAAATTAGGGAAACTCTGACTTATCATAATGCCTATAACGATTAAAGTTTCAATTCCACGTTTATTTTTTAATTTTTTTTCCAACAGACAGATTGATGTTATAAGGTAAATGTTATAATCAAGAATGTTATATCTTGTGGTAAAATTGACAGACATTTGATTAAAAGGGGGAGGGGACGAGAGGGAGAGAGAGAGAGGGGGGGGGGGAGGGAGTTGCGGGGGCGGGGGAGGGGGGGGGGGGGGGTGAGAGAAAAAGAGAGAAAACAATCTCAATTCTGGGCTTTTATTTTAAAGAGTTTGAATTGATCCAAATCAATCGCAAAGATGTATTCAAAGGCTAGGCTCTGGACTTCCAGTGGTTCACTCCATTCTGCTACTTTTATTGCGGTTGCCAGGATACATTTGAGTCCAATTGACGAAGTACGATATCTGCTACATAAACCAGTCCAGGCAATAGTTACACTCTCGAAACACCCTTTTGTTTACGCTTGGCCTTCGCTTGAACATTGACCGGACATAATTTAATTGTTTTATGATGACTCTCCGTCTGTGCTATTCTTAGGGTGCTTGCAAACTAGGCCATATAGATAAAACTTTTGATATATTTTATATTTCTGAGTTATTGATCGAACTGTTTCTTGATTGTTTCTATGGTGACGCCCTTTACTTTTCGCAACAAGGACGGCAATCTTACACAGATTATTGTAATAAAAAGACATACCGACACATACATATGCAAACATACACACATACACATCCGCAAACACAAACACGCCCACTAAGGTGCAGGGCAGTGCCGGTGTGAAACTGGGTTTAACTTAGTGCAATGATTTTATGGAGCCCAAGTGTTGAGTGTGAAGGTCTTTATTCTGTACAAATCGTTGTATTTCTGCTGCAGCTACTACTACTACTACTACTACTACTACTACTACTACTACTACTACTACTACTACTTCTACCACTACTACTACTACTACTTCTACTACTACTACTACTACTACTACTACTACTACTACTACTACTACTACTACTACTACTACTACTGCTGCTGCTACTCATCCTCCTCCTCATCCTACTACCAATAATGATGATGATGATAATAACAATACTAGTTACAAAATATAGCAATAATGGTAACAATAACGGTATCAAAAGTCAGTGGCAGTCCTCAACTTGAACTGAATTTTTAAACAAATTCAAACAAAGTGAATAAGAAAAACTTTGAAAAACTACAAATTTGTAATAACAAACGCAAAAAATAAACTAAATGAACCCAGTCCTTTAAATAACAGTGGCAAACTGAATTCAAGCTAATGGGAATTTCGTTTGTTCATTTAATTAATGAATTATGACCTATTAAAGGTACTGTGTCCCATTTGCAGCCCCCCCCCCACAAATGAAAAGGTTAAATTCAAACGGCATTTTAAAGATAATACTAATTTCGTACTTCTCTCGTAACGAAAAGGCTTGAAAATATCTTTTAGTGGGAAAATAACGACCATTAGTTGTCGAATCGACTTTAGTGATTGCAATCCTGTTAGTAAAAGTCTGATTTTCAGACCCTCGTACTTTTTGCGCGGCGCAAAGAGTTAGGCAGTTTAATTTTGGCCGTTACAAGAAGTGGGTTATTGATGTAGACAAATGCTTATGTACCCTTTACAGCTCATTTTATGTCTGTTATTACCAAAGACCAAAATAAAAGAAGTCAGTCAGTCAGTCACTTAAAGATAAAGGTTAGTTCTGGTCATCCGATTGCATTGTGAAAGAAAAGGTGTGAAATGGATCAGAAAAAGTTGATCATGTAGCATGTAAGTATTGGTGTGTACTGCAAAGTTCTTGAGTCATCAAAATCATAATAAATTTGGCCCAGTCTTGGTAAAGTAACAAGCACCGCACACAGAAAGATGTATATGGGACTACACAAATGGTGTCGGGGCTACTAACCTTGATTTCCTAATCTTTCTATGCTCATTACTAAGCCAGTATACATTTTCTACCAAAATTGTTTGGCAAATGACATTTATTTGTAATCTTGAACATTCAGTGTAAGTTTCGTTTGATTCTGTGAGAATTCATTTTTTTTTTCCAACCAGAACTCACTTTTATCTTTAAGAGTGTCTGTCTGACAGTGAAGTCCAGAAAGCAAACTGGGTTTCCTTGCATAATTTGAATATCAGGACACTGCTGACGTTTACTTTTCACCGAAAGGACATACGTAACATATTAATAATTCCTGCAAAGTTCTACATAATTTGATGTTGGCTGCAAATGGGAAATAGTACCTTTAAAAGGGTTGTTATAAAAAAGTCACTCTAATGTAAGTTTCTATCGACCTTTAAATTAGTCTAAGCTCCTACTAATTCTTAAAAAGTACTGGTTACAATATCCCCACTAATGTTAGATTTCTGTATCGTTTCTCAGATCAATACTGTCAACAACAACAACAACAACTACAGCAACAACAAGAGTTTTCCGCCTATCCCCTACCGTCGGATCGCCTTGGGAAGATTTCAACCCACCTGGGCCCCGTAACAGAAAGTTTGCAATAAATCTCTAAATGGCAAGGGCGACTCGCGATCATCGCTGCAGGCACATATTGAATCTGACCATTAACCAATCAGAATGGTTGATTCAAATCTGCCATTGATCAAACACCTTTGCTTCATGGGGTGGGGGAGGGGGGCGGCTCGAAAATCCACCGGGAAGTGGGCGTCAGACCCTTTCAAATCAAAGTGCTCTCTTATTAATCATGTCCTCCGTCCAATTCTATTGTTGTACAGTAATAATTATAATATTTAGCTTTTATATAGCGCTTAATACATCACAGACGTCTCTAAGCGCTTTACAGATACCCTATATATTACCCCAGTCAATGGATTGAGTGCTTGCCCGCACACAATGTGTGCACAATCTCCACTCCCTGGGAAGCATTTCAGCAAGGCGTTACTTGGCGCTCAAAAACCTTTTGACCAACAATGATGGTCGCATCCTACCGGGTACCCATTTTAACACCTGGGTGAAGAGTAGCAAGGCAGTAAAGGCAGCCTTTTAAGAAAAGCATTTCCAATATCGAAACAGGCAAACAAGCAAAGAAAAAACTGAAACAAAAACGTTGAAGGAAGGTAGGGGTTAGGGCGGGGTAGGTTCTTGCGGAAGGCGTGAATTTCACAATCATAATAATAATAATAAGATATTTGTATACCGCAAATTGCAAATTGCCTCTAAGCGGTTTAGAAGAAAATAGCTGATAAGTAAAGGAAACAGAAATTGCATTACAAATTATACCAATTTAGATTACCATTAAAACTTTGCAAATGAAAATAATACATGTACATAATTACAAATCACT